ATATTATTAAATAAATTGATATATTTAATATAATAAATTTTAAATAAATAAATAAAATTAATTATTTAAATGATATAAAAAATTATATTAAAAAATTATATCAAAATCATTTTCTTTTGAACAAATGATAATGACATTATCATCAGCTTCCATTTGCGGTTGATGATAACGTGGCGCAAACCACGTTGGATCGACTTTCATTTGGCTTGGAAATAGTTAGTTTTCTTAGCATTTTCCGATTTTTTTGGGTACAATTGGTGGTGCTTAGCATATCAATATCATTTAATTAAAATTTTAATGATATTAATTAACTATAATCGTTGTTTGATAACATGGGAGGCCATGTCAGAACGGTGAGAGACTGGATCGCACGCAGGTAAATTAGGAATCACCACTAACACGTGCTCTATTAATTTTGACCAAATTGCTGACATCAGCCTTCACGAAAGGGCTGACTTTCCACCATTTTACGAGTTTGAGGGTTTGTAAGCCACTGTTTTTCATTAAGGGGCTGATTTTCTATCAATCCTAGAGTACAGGGTCTGATTTGCTCATTTTCTCTTTTCTACAAGCACTTGTTTCCACAAGTCATACTTTATCGTTTACGCAACTACTGTCGTACGGATTACGAATCGACAAGCGACTGGAAAGCGTGGACCACGCTCCACACCATTTACCCAAAGAGCAATGCTAGGAACACTCGCCATTTGCACTCTTCAACCGCACTTCCATTTTGATTGGGCCACGTTATGTTTGTTGGGAGAGGTAATCATTTTATAGCGGAAGCAAACTTACGTGGCCCAATAAAAATGCATGTGTTGAGTGGACAGTGCAGGAGGCAAGTGTCACTAGACCCCAATAATAAAGGAGGGCCACCCCGTGTCTAAAATCCTAAAAGTACGAAAGCTCAGTCTTTGTCCGTTTCTATCTCTCTCATCACTTCCTCTTTTTTCTTCCACTGGAGATCACGTTTCGCGTTGCTGTTGTGTTGTTTAAAACTTTTTTAATAAGAAATATCTTGGCATACATAAATTATTATATTTAAAATTTTTTATAAATTAAAATTGTTATTTTCTAGTATTTTTCACATGACTTATGAGCTTGCAATATATTGATTTTTAAAAGAAAAATTACAAAATATATTATATTTTTATATTATAATAATACATATACAGAAGTTTATTTAATCTTATCAAATTCTATTATCTTTTACACAAAAATTCAAATATAATAAATTTGTTTGGCGAGACCATCCTCCAAAAGAAGGTTTATAATTTTTTGCTCAAAGACTGGCATTACATAATTATACAAAAACAACTTAATTAATCAAAATGTTAAATTGGAAATAATTATATATTCAAAACACACAAAACAACCTTCAAAATTGTAAAAGCATCATATTGGTATGGGAAGCTTACTGAGTTTTCATTAAGGAAATTTTAATTTTTGCTTAAATTGAGTATTGACATCAAATAATATGAAACACCTATAATTACTCAAATAATAAATTAAGCGGAATTTAACTAATCTATATAGCAAAAAAATATGAATACCCAATAGTTAAATTCCCTCAAAACAACACCCGAATCCAACTAAATAAAAAATTACAGACACAGAAGGCACACTCATGTTCAACTACCCTTTTCTTCCTCTCCACTTTGACCAAAACCATTTGGTAGACTATTGAAACCCCCAAAATAAAAATCCAACCATTTTATTTTCTACTTAAGTAACCAATATGAGTCAAAATGTAACTAGGCGAGGGTTAGGAAATAAAATGATGAAATCAGATAACAAGAAATTGAGAATAATTAAACCACAACAATGAACTCAAATCGTAATTTACTTACTCATCAATTACTCTAAGACACCAAAACAATCCCTAATAGCAATTATTTAATAAAATTAGAAAAGAGAAATCTACAACAATCATAGAAGTTTTTGCAAGCCAAATCAAAAGACATGGATATTGCTAACAAAAAAACAAAAAGCAATCCAAAATACTTAACAAAAAACTATAGATGGTAGCTGCATCAATTTGCTATGCAAATTCACATTCGAACATAAATACCTAACAAAAAATTGTAGAAAGTTCAATAGCTTGTTGCAACAAAGAAA